TTTATTTAAAAAATCGATTTTTTTTACCAGTCGTGGTCTTGGTCTTGCAACAGTTGGGTAGCCTTGGTCTTGGTTTTGCGAGGTGCAAGACCAATACCGATTTCGGGCAACACTATTCCGGAGAAATAAAAATTATATTCCAAATTTCTGCAACAAACGTTCATCTATGATAATGCAAAAATATAATAGTCAATTAAAACCAATCTTACGTTACTTTGATTTTTTTTTTTTTAAAGTTGACGATACGCATATTTTTGGTTTGCTTTTGTTTGTTTTTTTGGTTTACTTCTCTTCGAAATATTTTCTAAAAAATAATTTTAATTCATTTTTCATTTTCTTGTTTGTTTTTTACTTTCACTTACCTATATGAAATATATTGTAAGAGAAAGTATTGCGATCATGAAATTTTCGAATATGAGTTTTCAACTTTATATCATAGACTAAACAAATTTTTATTATTTTCTCCGAAACGGCTCTAACGATTTTTATTAAATTCATTATATCTGTATAAAATAAAGCAGTTTTAAATAAAATGTAGGTTTTATTCTGATTGATGTTCTCTACCAGGGCTTAATGGCTAATTTTCAATATTAGTTTCACCTAAAATACCTTTAATTTTTTTTATTTGAAACAAAAGATCATTTCAGATTCATCTCTAATGTGAAGAATAGTTAAATATAAAATATGAAGGAATTTGATAATTAACTATAGGAAAAATAAGAGATCGTAACGGAGAATAGTAATTGAGGATCCAAAAGAATACGAGGACACTCGAGCTCCCCCGAAAGACTAGAACATGCTTCCATACGTAACATGAGCTTAATATAATAAGGACTCCGACAATATTATGTAAATATATATCTGCGGTTTTCATAAATGCTTGAAGTTAGCTTTGATGTATGAGTCTACCACTCACTTCTGGACGAATAGAAGATATTTTTATATGCACTTCCTTTGTGATCTTTTTAATGTTGTTATTTTAGCCTTATTCATTTTTAAATGTTAAAGTGCGCCTATAGCTTTTGTCAGTTCCTTTATTTCATTATTGACCCAATAGTAGCTTATAAGCGCCAGGCTATTTTGAAGTCTCTCTCCTTTTTCATTCAGTCGGACCATAACGCTTTCTCTGTCTATTTGTTTTTTCCATGCTCTTGTAGTTTTCCCTATTGCGTCCCTATTATTACTATATATCTTTTTTCAATTCTTCCTGTACCATTGTTGATTTTGAGGTTTACACTGTACACGATTTTTTTATATCGTGAAGTCTCACCTCTCTTGAATAATATTGATTCTATTGAATGCTTTCAACAGACTTTGTTGGTGATTTGTAAAAGTATATTGTTAGAAAAAACGTAGATGAACAATTTAATAATTTTTTCACTAACGATTTTGCTTACAACTATAGCTTTTTAACGTGTCTAAAAGTTGTGCAACTTATTTCAGTCCAGTCAGTCTCCTCGAAGACCTTTGATTGTCATGCCTTTCTCCACCTACTCTTACCATTATTCCTGGGACATCTTCTTTTTCTGCTTTATATCGATTTATGCCACGACAACGTCCCCGAAAATTCATCTTCAATGATACTAACATTGTTCCATGTATATATTCTAGCTTTCGAAGAAAAGATGGAAAAAAAAAAAAAAAAAAAAATATATATATATATATATATATATTTATTTATTTTTATTTTTTTTACTAACTAACCTTTTTGCTCTAGAATAAACAATTTATGATTCCAAATACAGCCTCCCTCTTACAGTTTTTTCTATTATGTCTTTGGAGGACCTTTCGTTTTTAGTTACACGTTCGTTTAGTTACACCTTTCGTTTTTAGTTACCCAGCTATTAACACTAAGGGGCGGGGTGGCCGAACGGGCTAACGAGTGTGCATAGCACCGCGCATTGTCTGGCAACCTGATAAGTAAAGTTAGGAGACAATAAAATTACGAGTTCGCATCCCGGTGCCTAGGGGTCTTTTAAATTCTCCGCCCTCACTCCCTGGCCTGGAAAAACCCCCGTATAGCTTCAAAAAGCCAGCTAATACTAACACTCGGTTGCCAGCGATTTGTAGGATGTAAAGGCATTTTTCACTTATATTTATTCTCATCACCATATGAAGATGAGAGTAAATATAAGTGAATAAGAATAACGATTTAATCGAAATGATTAATAATCCAAATGAGCTACTTTAACGTCTTTGAATGCGAGGGTGTCCACAAGCAGGTTTTATTTCGCAAGTTGCGCCATCAAATATTTTAAGGGGGCCCCATTTTGACTGAGTTTTGAATTTTTGGAGAGCAGGGTAGCTCAGTGGTTGGGTACTGAGCTTTCAATGCTAACGGTTCCAGATTCGAACACCGCCTCAAGGCAGAAAATTTATTTATCTGTTTCATCGGCTGTGAGGCGACCCTGGGTCGGGAGACCTTCCTGGGCCACCCCAGCCTCTATAAAGTTGGTGCTCTTAATTAAATAATTGATTAAGGGGGAAAACCTGGCGGTTGAGCTTGATCTCTGTCAAATTACCTCCTTGCACAACAGTGCTTTCTCTGAATAGCACTGAACCCAAGACCCTTCATGGGTTGTATTGGTACTGGATTTTTTTTTTTTTTTTTTTTTTTTAGGAGGAGGCACATGTCGACGGGGTTATGAATTTACAATCACTATTACTTGGTTTTCAAACCAGGAAACAAGAGAAAATTATAGTACAAACCACAGAAAGTGTAATGGTATACGACCTATGATTTTTTAAATCTTACTTTATCTTGCACTGTTTTTAAGAAGAGAAGAGAAATAAAATATCTTAGATGGGGGAAGGGTCGTGCGCCGTCGATCTTGGGGGGGGGGGCGAGCACTCGTAACGGAATGTAATATTTCTCAAGAAAGAATTGGTGAATATTCCAAATAATAAAATAAAATATATATTTTATAATACATATGCTTTTTAAAATGTCCTTTCGTAAGAGGATGCTTATATAAAACTGTAGGTGTTTTTTTGTTTTGTTTTTTAAAGAAAGAAAGTATTTTCCACTTAAAAATGATAGACGAGTTATTAATATATTTAATTGTTTTTAAACATAAATAATGGCCTGATAGTAATTGACACTCAACGGACTCATGGGTACAAAGGGTACTTTGAAACTGATCCTGTGTTAATTGGCACTAGGTATCAGCATGCCATTACGTCCTAATTGGCCAGTGTGTAAGGCCCTTGTTCTGACAACTCTACCGTATAAATTAATATCCTGTATTGGAGGGGGTAATTAAATAACGCGCTACTGTGTTAATTATTTAGTTTTAAAAAAAATAACAAGATTTCTTATGGTCTCTTTGGATTATATTGTTATCTGATGACTCTTTTAAGGTTAAATCGATCGTGACCTATCACTTTTGACCTTTTGATTCTCAACCTTTTTTTTATTAAGGCAATGCTTTTAATCAATTAACAATTATAATTTACTTTGACATTGTCGATACCGACGGCATCGCTTCTATAAAAGCGATGTTTTACTAACTACTGGCTCACACGTTCACATATAAGGCTCATATGTTTAATATTATTTTTGGAGCTAAATTGATTTTTCACAAAGGAACTAAAAAAACATATCACTGTATGAAAAAATAAATAACACCAAATAATAATAATAATTAAGAGATATACCTTATACTGACAACATTTCGTACTCAATTCGGACATTTAAATTTTAGATCCTAGCATTTGAATTTTTTATCAGTATACTCATTATCATTCCAAAGCTTTAAATAACATATTAAACAAACCGAATGATCGTAGAAACCTAAAGTTTAACCATCGTATACACAGAAAGAAGTAAAAATAATAATAATAATAATACGAACACTATAGAAAAAACATTTCTAGAAGATAGTAAAATAATCAGAGGGGTCATCAGACTTAATATGAAAGATGATGAAGACTTCAAATATTATATTCTCATTTTTAATTTAAGAAAAACCTCATCATATATTTTTCGTATTCCTCCAGAAGAGGATTTTTCAATGTACTAAATCCCAAAGGCGAATCTCTGGGGGGGAGAGGAGAGGATGGCTTTCGGGCTCAACCCTCCCCCAAAAAATGGTAAAATATAACCATATTTTACAGAGAAAAAGTTTAAAAACTTTCTCTTAAATTATTCTTGTTGGTTTATAACAAGACTTGAACTTAATAGGACTTCAAGAACCACTTAAACACCATTTCATGTAGGTAGTTAATTTCTTTCGTTTTTTTTTTCAAATTAATTATCGTTGTATGTATATGAAAAAAAAAATCTTTCAAGCTGAAGCCCCTCCTCCCTCTAAAATTAAATCCTGGATCCGCTAGTGCTAAATCCATATTTGGGCTTTCTCGATTTTGTGCTCAAATTATCTTACATTTCAAGCGGAAAGCGAATGAAAATTTATGAGTTTTTTTTTACCTAATTAATATACATTATGAAGTGTGAATGTGCTATCTGTACACTATTATAAGTATCATCAATTGTGAAATATTGTAATATTTCTCAAAGATAATTAAAAAAAAAAATTTAATAGACAAAGTTTACCGATCTCCAGATTGAAAACGCCTTAATACCGATAATTTGCGTTAGTAAAATAGCTGTAGGTTACGATGAGATGCTGTTATTTCCAAAATAAACGACACATTTATGTAGACCAGGCGTTTCAGAAAAATATTTTATTTCATCCATTTAAAAAAAATATGTAAATTATTAAGACAATATAAACTTTCGAGACTTTGAGGAAAGTTAAATCATTATACTGCTAATTTAACAGGAAATAAATACTGTATTATCCAACTTATCAGAAGGCTTATCTCAACATTTTAATTTTTCACATACCACTTTTCATTTTTCTTTTTTTACTATCCATTTCTTTTTATAGTAATTTTGCTACTTTTTTTGTTGGTTTCGTTATTGATCTATTTCAACTGATTATTATGAGGTGTCTTTTAATAATAAAATGTCAACTGATGAATTACCTTGGCTTGACTCAGAGACGGTAGCTAGCTCGCACATTTAACAAAATAATTTCAGCGGCGGCACACGTAGGTATTTCCTCTGGAATCAGCATGCAAGGGCCGATCGCCCCATTAGAATTCAATGCCTGGAAGGCAGATTGGAGCAGTGTAGGAATTATCAATGGCTGTATTGTTGATAGGCTTCGCTCTGCCTTTGTAGCTGTCATTATCACTCCATCGTACCTTTTTACCACTTTCATTACTGCTTAGTAAATCGGATGTGGTATGACTAATTTTAAAAAAAAATCATTTCATCCAGGATAACATAGTACAAAAACAGTCGAAGATAATAAAGGATTTATAATAAACATTAAGAAACGGCGCAAAATAAAATAAAAACAAAATTGTGATTTGTATTTTGGATCTCGAAAATACCAATTTTCACAACAATCGAAAAATAAAAATTTGTTGCTCATAATTTCTGACTACCTGAATTCTTCGATTATTTTCGGAAATCACAAAAATTGTGATAACTTTGACCACTTATATTCACGAAAATTATTATGAATTTAGGACTTTATAATATACACGAAAAGGCACATATCAGACTCCTGCAAATGAATTAGGCTTGGTGATAAAAAAAAATATGTTTGGGGAATTTTTCTTTATTTATTTCTTATAAAGGAGTAAAATCTTAAATATATTGATATGATTTTGAAAAGAAATAATTTCGCTTCCCAACGGGTTTTATTTAGTTTAATTAAGTGAAAATGTTGAGGAGAATATTTTAGTGAACGGTATGAAAAAAAAAATCCTCCAATAAAATTATGTTTATTTACATTTTTTATCTTAAAACAAACTCGTATTTAAGAGTTTGCGTGGACGCTAAATTTATTTGGATTACTTTACTAGAAGCTTCTTTAGGTTTTTATAATTTATTTTACATTATGATTCTTTTAATACAATTTATATATTTTTCTCATCTTACACGAGAAAACGAATTGATTGATATATAATAACTTAGAAATACATGCAGAGTATAGTTAAAACATAGTAATATAATAAAATTTCATAAAACCATTTTTTTCTCGTCTCCTACGGAATATTGGCAACAACACTCGGACATGGGTCTAATATTTTTCAACCTAGCATCACCAAAAAAGGTTTCATTGAAATCGGTGGACCCACATGTGTTTAGATAGTCCAAAAAATTAAATTCAGAGAAGTTAATCTTACCAAAAATGAACAAATATAGCAAAAATTGCAAGAAAGCTTTATAATATAATATATAGTTTTTGAAATTACTCAAAAAAAATAAATTAAATAAAAAATAATGATTAGATTGTTGTAGTGTCATTGAAATAGTAAATATAATCAAGGTTGATAATATTCGTATGATATTTTAGATATATGGTCATGAACGTTGACCATATTAATTTTATAAAAGAAAATAAGAGATACATTCTTAGTATCAGTTATGTAGATTAAAGTTAATATGCCCTTAGAAAAATTAATTTGAATTGTTGAAATAATAAAAATCAACCATGTTCCTATTTATAATTGAAATAATTTGTTTAGGAAATAACTTCGAAATAGTGATAAGTTGTTTATTTTTGGTAATATCTCCGAAATTATCTGTATATAAAAAATGGCTTACAAGATTTTTTTTTTAAATTTTGCTATTGATATACAATATATAAGGTTAATAATTGATATGCGTAAAACGAAATATTTTAAATTCCTATCACTAATTATAGTATTTGCAGTTGACTCTTGGAAATGACTCATGAAACGCCGGTTGCGATAGAAAGATAGTAATAAAGACGAATTTTTCGGTGAACAAAAATCGTATAAAGAATAAACAAAAATTTCGAACATCGTAGGCTGGTTTGGGAATGCAACAGATTCTCAATCGGCCGTTGAATAAAAACATTTGATCATTATTTAATTTGAATTACTTAAATTATCTATATATTTTTTTAAATTTTTATTTATAGAAATTTACAACTGTATTAAATGTTAAATACAATAACTAGATATGAACTAAGTAACATGACAAGCACAACATGAAGAGAAACTACCCATTGGTAGCACTCCAATTATATTTCTATATTAGGAGGTCCCGGGGCCATCTTCTTTTCAGATGCCTCGGAGGATTATCAGGAATAGAGGAGGAATCAAGTTTGGAAACAAGACAGTTCGGATGGTTCAGAAGTTCATTATGGAAGGTTAGGTATCTGGATTGAGCTAAATCTGAAACATATGATAGGTTAAGGTTGTTATGGATGATTTTATTTGTGACAAAGTAGGGAGCATTGAGGATTTTACGAAGGATTTTGGATTGTAGGGGTTGGATACGAGAGGAATTGGATGGTTTGGTAGAGCACCAAAGCTCGATCCCGCAAGTCCAAATAGTCCTTATTATAGTAATATATATATGAGTTTTTTGTAAATAGTTGGGTGTTTAGAGCGTTTTTCTAGTAAGTGCTGCAGTAGTCGAAAACGTCGGGCTGTTTCAGTTATCCATATAAGCAAGATTTTTTATTGTTAGTTTCTATTAATAGATTGAAAACAAAATATAGATATTAATATATATATATATATATATATATATATATATATATATATATATATATATATATATATATATCTATGTGTGTGTGTGTGTTTTCCTTATCCATCCTTTTGTGCATAATTTACCGCCACTTGGGCATATCTCTCCGTAATTTGCCTTGCAATTTCCTGATCGATATTACGTATTCATCATTCTTACTGAGATACCTAGCTCTATTTCCTCGTGAACTATCCTTCAAACTAGTTGCTATCAGCTTATTATTATTACTCTTTAAATCCCTTGAATTTATTCTCGTATTAAAGGTTTATTCATTCTTTGAATCAATGATCTATATTGGATTTATTTTTTGAAATGATCCATCCATTCACGATGTCATCTTCCACTACTCCATTCTTTTATACGCTATGGCTAAAATAATATAATGCAAAATAGAAAGAAAATAAGAAAAAAATCGATTATTCCATGGTTCAAATCTTTTTTTTTAATCAAATTATTAACATCCGCCTAAAAGTTCCTTGATAGCTTCATCTCATAGTATAGATTATATAGGCCAACCGGCCCAATATTTTTGTAGGCAACCTTTTTCTCGATTTTTTGATCAAATTATGTTACTATCGAAGTGTAAAGCTAATGAACATTTATGAATTTTTAGTATATCATTAAATTAATTAATTAAATGTGAAAACGCCCAATTTCTGAGAATTTTCGTAAGTTAACTTATCGGAGGCAGTGAGGACTTTATAAGTAACACTTATATTCGTAATATCTGTTACAAATGGCATCTTGACGTATTGAAATATTTTATAAATATGCGGTTTGACAACAAGAGTTCACTCCAGGTCTCCTGGCAAGAGTGTGACTTCAAGAATGTAACTACAAGAGTGATTAGTCTTGAGGACCGTGGGGATAATATACCCAGGAATAGTAGGGGGGTGAAGGAATTCTAGGAAGTCTAATGAACCTGGGAAAGGGCTTCAAGTGAAGTTACCAATAATTGATATTCTTAAGATGAGGTCTGTGAAAAAGGTCTGGAGCCATCAACTATTGAGAATTGATATCCTTATCTTTAAGTATTTATATGAGAACCGTGAGAAAGGGCCTTTTGTTGAAATCTGTTATTGTTCCCGAAGTCTTGATAATGTGTCTTGTTTGCCCAGTCAGTGCCTTTTAGATAACTACTTCTAAGATATCTAGGTTGCCTAGCTATCTAGAGATAGCTTTGTCCTTTTATCCTTTGAATTATGAAAATTGTTAATAAAATATATGATGCACCAATTGGCATATTTAGCAAACTGAATTATTGAATTAGAGGTTAAATTAATATTATTATTTGTTACGGATTAAGTCCATTCCGTAACTGTAGATAAAATATTTTTTCCGGTTACGATGAGACGATGCCATTCACGAAGTTTTAGACGGATGTTAATAATTTGATAAAATGTGGTATGTATCACGAATGGAGATATTTGAATATCATTTCTTGGAGAGGAAAAAAAAAAAAAAACTGCTTCGCCTTCTGCCATCACAGCACCGGGAATAATAAAACCTACTGAGAAAATAAGACGCCGGCAGTAGGTTCATCGGTATCTGATATTCTCCAGACATCACTTGTTATGAATTCCTCATAAATGCGAGCCTTCAGTCCATCACAAACTCAATATTATCATATGACTTTCCCACTTCTTCCTACTAGAAATGGAAAATTCTATGCGTAGTTCATTTATTTATAGTTCTCCATTTCGGGTGAACTTGGCGGTATATTGGACCAATTAAAATTCATTAACAAAATTTTCCTTCTTCTTTATTAAAAAGTTTCCTTCTATTTAATTAAGTTATAATGTCTCAATATTTGGCGTGTATCCTAATTATTTCTGATTGTAGTGTTAAATAAACTGTCTTTAGTGACTTTCATATTTTATTTTATTTTAGTATTAGGATAGTAGTAGATTCACAGGAGCTCTCCTGTTAGCTCTAAAATTAGCACTAATTATAGAGATGTTCATTTAATTACATATGTTTTGAGCTCCTGTAACCTTATGTTCTCCTAATACAAAATGGAGATTTACATCCTTGTTTCTTCGTTACAGTATTGAGCTCCCGTAACCTCATACTTTCCTAGTACAAAATAAAGATTCTAGACAAAAAATGTGTACGGAAGATGGAATTAAACTGGAGATGATAGTTTGATTTTACCTAGTAGTTATTTTTCGATCTAAACATTACCCCTTGAATACAATATATTAATTATTATATTATATATAATACTATTTATATTGTGATATAATTATAATTATTATGAGATAGAAAAGGAAGCACGATTTTACGATAAAAATATTAGTAATAAAACGCTTAAATTGATTTTGGGCTTTTATAAAGCTGGTCAAGTTGAATATATATTATGGTTACAAATTGGCAACAAGAATAATTATAATCATATAATAATATAAATTGGCGATGAATTAAAAATTTGTCGGAATTCAAGAATTCATTCAGTTTATTTTATGTTATTAACAAAATAATACTATAATCAAGACCGAAGAAGGATGAGTTAACCGGAGAGTTCAGACGGTTACACAACGCCGAATTGCGTGAACTGTATCCGAGTAATATAATTGAGATAATTTCATCGCGGCGTATCAAATGGGCTTGTTAAGTTGTTGGACTTAATGGAATTCCTAAAAGATT